GCTTGGATAACCCTTCAGAAGTGAAGTTTCTAATGGATTAGGTGCCCGCCTCCATTTAAATCACAAGTTACTCACTCAGCAGCCCTAAGAAAAGAAACACCAGGTCCACACATGAATCTTATTGATCATAAACAACGTGATCAAAGAATTTGTCTAGCCTAGTCTCTGACACTTTCCAAGGGGTCTCCCGGATGCAGGATGAAAGCAAGCTGTGCATCTTTTGAACTGTTCTGGTAGACCACAGCTCACTCCCTGGTAGTGCTGGATCACAGGTCTAATCTTGTCACATTCAACCCTCTAACGCTGGGGAAAACAAATATAATTTACTTTATTTTAATCAAAAAAACCCCTTGCTGTTAGTGAATAATGAATGGGTTTGGTCACATCACACACACAAAAAAAGCTTGTTTGGTCAACAGCTTGGCAACTGGGTAAATATAGAGATACACATACACACATTGGAAAGCATTCAATTTTACAATTGCTGAATCTCACTCTATCCTTTCAGTCTATCCTAAAGCAGGCAGATTTTATCTGGGCCCATTCATATTTTGACCTGTGTTCTGTATTTCCACTAAGTAGGTGATTACTTCCACTTTTTGCCTCGCCCGGTTCCAGAATACACAACCTGTTCTGCCCCCCACTTCATCCTACCAGCTTTCCAACGAGCAGTATCAGGCCCTCATGCCTGAATCAACTACTGAAATTCACCACGTATTAACAGACACTTGTTATTAAAACTAGATTTCTCTTTCACCATTTTCAAATTATTAAATGCAGTGCGACTTTGGAGTCTCAAATACACCAAGCCATCTATGTGAGGGACTCTAGTCACCTTTAATCTTTTATTTCAACAGAAAAGAAGGATGTATATAACTCCGCTCCCTGTCTGAACATAAGGATGGACTACTCACATCTGTTTCATTAAGCAAACCCTTGGCTGAACATGGCTCCTCTCCAAAATACTCTGATTTTCCTCACAAGCTTCTTATAAACAATAGTAGGACTTCTGAAGAACTCACTGCGAACAAAACTCCTCCTTGTGTAGATACTCAACAGGAACACCAAGTGCTCCAATGCTAGACAAAGAGGTTTTTTACCACTTTCTCCTGCATCTATTTTTTGATGCTTCATTGTCAAAGTGCTTCAATGTTCAGATTGAGAAGGAACATGCTCAAAAGATCTGCTGGTAAGGATACAGGCACCCAAGCTATTTTCTCAATTTAAAAATCAGTTCAGTAACATTCTATGTCACTTCCTAGAAAACTCAGCAAAACCATGCTGAAACACTACGAACAGGGTATTTTAACTGCAGGGATTAACATTTTGACATTTTACAACTTTCTGTGGAATTCTGTGTTTTGGGTGCAGAATAGACCAAAGGGGCATCTGGGATTTGTATTTGACCACACACTTCAACCAACACCTTTCTCTACCCTCTTTAAGAAACAACCTGTACTCCAAAAAGAGGACTGCGCTACATAAGCAAGTCATTTTCCCTTCCTGATGCCTATAAAAGGCAGGACCAGAAAATGAAATGGCTTTAACCTGTCAAACTTTCCCCAGCTCTTTGGAGGTGAGTTTGCCCTTTTAAGAATGTGTGTTGAGGGACCGACTGAGGAACCTGCCAGGAAGAGCCAGAGCTCTGAACGCTATAACCATTCATTCACAGCAGCAAAGAGCTCTCATCCTCCAGCAGTCAACTAAAAAGGAAAGTCCCTAAAAAGGAAATTTAATAGGCAACCTTACTGAAGGCCCACAGAAGAACCATGATTCTTCAGAGCTGGAATATTATTTTAAGAAATCAACAGTACCCTAATTAACAGTGGAACTGAGTGTTTCTAGTGCAGAACATGAATCCACTGTCAGAATACTAAGAATCTGTTTAATTACAGTCTGAAAAACGGAAACATCTCCAAACAGTACAGTTCTCTTTCCATAGGTTATTTTACCTATAAATCCCTTCTTTGCTACTAGGAGTCAAACTGAAGGAAGGTATACAAAAGACTTGGTTTGTTTAGGATAAGTTCCCAAAGAACAGGATTCAATTGTTTTAATTTATCTTCAATTTCTGAAGATGAAAACAACTCATATTTATGACATTCATAGAACAGTGAAGTCTCTCGGTCTTCAGAATGTAAAACTAGTTTTTTTGTGAAATAATACAATCACTGATAGTTGTTTAAATATAGCTGTTCATTAACAAAGTGCCTGTGCTTTGCTTAAACAGATTACAGAAGGAAATATCGTCCAAACTAAAGCTAATCAGCCAGGTTTTCAGAGGACCTAGTAAACATACAGAATCTAACCTCTAACCACTGTTTGTGTGTACGTGGATATGTATGTATGTGTATACTTGTTGCTATGTTAAGGGGGGTGAGGCACAACCCTCTTGCTAAAAATTCTACTTAAGGTTGTCACCCTCGGCATCCAAAGCCACAAAATATTTTAAGTCCTCTTGGAAACAGAATACACAAGCTGAACTGCAAAAAAAATATCCAGCACACTTATGATGGGCAAATACAATGTATAGAAACATTTTTAAGCAGTTCAACTACTCTCTGGCCTCTACACTTGCACATGCAGGCCTAACTGGCTCTCAAATCAGGACAGCTACTTAAAAACAAAACACCCACAAATCTTAAAGAATGCAATGGTTGAAAACCGCTTCTGCATAAGCAAACTGAAGAAGAACATCCCATCTGACTGCAGTTGCTAGAACTTACCTTCCAGAATTAATAAACAGCATGTCCATGTGAGATCTGAGCATTAAAGGATTCATGAAGAATGAGCAAAACCAGTTTTGCAAGTCATACTCATTAAGATCCTAATGACACAGCCAGGAACCCTGCATGTGAGAAACCCTAAGAAATCTGAGACACTAAATGCAAGACCAATTTTCCTCTAGGTTGTAAGTTAGGATCAAGCCTCCCACAGGAGAGGGGATCATCACAACGAAGACCAAGCTACCCTGGAAACCACCTCATACAAGGCCGTAGCTAAACTGCTTGTTCGAGCAATAGTTCTGCCATCTACTTTTGCAAGCTAACTTTAATGCTGGGGACTAAAGTAACAGGAGAAATCACTTGCTTTTGCCAAACTGCAAAACAATACAAAGTCCCAACACCAGGCCAGTTTGTTTGTTCCCATGATGGAAACCTAGAAGCTCACTGAAGGTTAGAAAGGGTATTTTCAGCCAAACCAGCCAGAGAAATCCAGTGAAGATACTACAACATCTCCCGGAAACACTAGCTTCTTTTTCAATCACCTTCAAATTATGGCTTTTATTAATAAACTACCAGATTCTCAGTGTCTCCTTTAGGTTAGCCTAATGATATTTTTAGTGTTCAAATTCGCAGTGGGAAAGACAAGTACTGCTTAACTAGAGGACTTTCTCAAGAGTGTTTTCAGTCTTTTGCTCTCACACATTCATCAAATGGCATTATTTTGTCCAGTCTTTTGAGAGAGGGAGATGGAGCCCCCAGACAAAAGCACTCTTTCTTTGATTTGCTCTTCTTTCCAGATTCCTTCTGTTCTGCTCATTTTCTACATCCCTACTCCAAGCACTCTGGGAATCAAAGCATGGAAACCTCAGATTAAAAACAAACCATGGGGGAATCAAAGCAGGGAAACCTCAGATTAAAAACGAATCATTTAATCCTGCGGACAAGTGGCCAACTACTGCTTAGAAATCTAAAGAAAGCATTCTCCCAGGCATTACAAGAAGCAATGGTACCTCCTAGATCTGTTAAATACCATGAAATCATTTTGAACACTGCAACCCTAGATGTAAGCACATACCTCAGAGACTGACTGCCCTCATAACATTAGCCATCAGACATCTCCACTGACAATTTATCAAGCTAGCAATAGGTTTTAGGACGCACCAGTCATCAGGTACACAAGAGAAACTGCAACTGATTCTCATTTTAAAGGGTGCTTAAAAAGGGATCAGATTATTCAAATTCTGTTAGACTATTTCTGGGATAGTCCAGACACTATCTTCCCTGCAAAGCAAAGTTTGGTCCCCAAGAGTTATAGCAGGTTAGAATAATTTTAGGGGACCACCTTTGATTAGGCTGCTGCAACTTTCTGCTGACAAAAGCTATGCTATGCTGTAAGCTCGGTTTTTTTCAAATTCAAAATGCAAAGAGAGCCCAAAGCCCGAGTCCCTTGCCCCCTTTCCTTCCTCAGAATGAAGGTCTCCTTTAGGACTGTACATAGCTTTACATCTAAACACCTGCAAATAAATGCTATTTTATCTAGCTCTTAAGTGTGTTCAAAGCTAAAGTCCGAAAACTCCAATTTCAGCACACTACTACTAGTCTGAGTATGCACCCATAATGATCAAACAGGGTTTGTTTCAAAGCAGGGTTTTTACATCTTTTTGCCCTTGGAATTTTGAAACTGACAAATAATTTCCAAATCCATTGCAAACACCTGAGTCACAAACCTTAGAAAGACTTATATTAGTCAAACTTCCACTATAAAAGTAACCAATGTAGTGGCACTATGTTCATCTAGTCTAGTTCCAAAACATGAACATTAAATATGTATTTTCCAACAATCATCTCAGAACTACAGAATGGAAAATATTTTTGTGAAAGTCAAACAGAGAAGCAAGTATTTCACCTCTAAATTTCTGGAGTAATGAATTAATAATTATATATTGACCAAAGCAGCAGAAAAAATGTCATTTTAGCAAGTCTACTTCCTTCTATTCTCTCCCCTTTAATCCTCCCTCTGGTAACACATGTAATCTCATCTGATCAATGAAATACCATTTAATTCAAATTAACTTTTCTAACTTTATATGTACAGAAAGAGTGGACCAAGCAACCCTCAACACCTGTAAGAATTATGAGCTTGTTTTCCATTTTCTGCTCCCTATCATCATGGTAAATTTTCAGACTTGTGAATATTTCACTAGGGTCAAAATTTACAGGTTGCCAGATCTGTGTGCAAGTTAGGTTCAGAAAAAAACTACACAAAGAATGTACCTGCTGCCTCCAGTAAGGCTTCTAGTCTTGCTTGTGTTTCTGGATCCACAGTTCTCAAGTCCGCACCTTCTGCAGCACTCGATAAGAATAACTCCGACGTGGTTTTAAGTACTGGGTTATCAAGATCTTCTTGGTCCAAAATAAATGATTCAACCTGTTTGCCAAATTAGAAAAAATAATTTTACCATTTTTGAAGCTTTATACTAAAACTAAAATATTAGAAAAAACACAAAATAATTAAAATGTACGATCATAATCATGTTTTAACTGTACAGATTATAGGACACAACCATAAAAATCATCTGGTCAACTCACTGAAAAGGTACTTGAAATCACAAAGGAAAAAAACTCTACATGAAAAACATATTTTTGTAAAAATTACAATTAACAAGATCTTAAACTATAGCAGATTAAATATTGAAAAAATGTTGTGCATGTTTGGACAGTTAACCCCCAAAACAGACTGCCACAAGAGGCTGTAGCGTCTTTGTCACCAGAATTCTGTCTACCTTGTTATTAAAATACAGCTGTCGGTAATGACTTTGGTATAGCTGAACCTATCCGAGAGCCAGGGAGGGACTGAATGGTTTGCCGAGATGCCTTTCAGTTTTATTTTAAAAGTAATTTCAACTAATGTAGCACAAGGATTTTGTTTGTTTTGAGTAGAAACATGACAGTTGACTAAAATTCAAAACGAAAACATCTGTATCCAAGCTGGCACTTAGTATTACCCCAGCCATTAATGTTTTCTAGACAAGAACAGATACGTTGAACAATTAAGCAAGCAGGTATTCCAACTGAACAGCAATAATGCTGTCCCCACCAGTGGCCCACATGATCTCCAAATACAAGCTCATGGAATTACTCAACATAACACACTGTAGTTTTATGACAGCTTGCCAGAGTAAACAAGGAGGATACCTGACTCATACTCTAATGAGAGCAGAACATTTCAGAATCTGTCCCACGTTCAGACATAATTTCCTCTATTTTCAGTAATATTTTAAGATAAAAACACTATTTCATAATTAGATGTTATCTGTTCAACACTATCAGCGCCTTAAAAATGCCATAGAAGTGAGACACGCTCGTTATACAACCATTGCTGCCCTTTCCCACTTCATGCCCCAGTCTCACCTTCCTTTCTCTGTTTGCCCCTAATACTTCCCCCTATCTTTCTCACGCCAGCAGTAAACTATCATCATATTCAGCCCTATCACACAACACCCCACAACACCTTAAGAAAGGGATCGTTTATACTTCCAAAAAAAAAAAATCAAACCAGGCCATCTGCAAACTTATTAAGTGCCCCATTGTGCAAAGAATGTTAACGTGAGGCCGGAGAGCTCCATAGAGCACTGCTATTTAAGAGCAACTTGGTTAATTTCTTCCTCTTTTTGATATGTAAATGTTCTGTAACATTATCCCCTGGCGTCCAAGCCAATCCGTGGGTGCCCCGTGAAATGCAGTGTTAACATATGAATACAATGGGCACCAGGGAGAAAGAGTGGCTTTTAGGAACACAGAACATGAGTTCCACATCTCAGTGGATATGCATGATATCGGCTAGTTTATAGGTATTATATCTTGTGTGCCAAGGCACAAATATTAAAGCTAAGACAGCAGGCTATGATTTACAGCTTGAAGAAGCAAGATTTCTAGATTAGTCCAGACAACGGTCCTAAAATAAGAGAACTGTCACTGTGAGAAAGAGTTGAGCATTAAAGGAGCAGAAAATTAGTGACCTAAACCAGTGATACACATTTTTACCACAAAGAGCAGCTATTTACAACTCACAGCAAAATGCATCCCTAGAGTAAGACTCCCCTCTGCAGAACTCAAATTCCAGGTTACGTCCATCTAGCCAGCTTAAGGACTCCCTGCTGGCATAAGCTCTGATGCAAAACTGACTCCTGGAAAAATTCACCCTTATCTACAGGAGTACTTCAGCGTTTTTCATTTTCTCCCCCGAGACTACACAAGGCACTCTGCCTCACCAATATATTAGAAATATTATTCCTATTGCAACAATGTTTGTGTGACCTGGTGACCAGCAGAAAAATCCCACTGTGTGCATAAGTGACTGTTCGTTATACAGAGTTGAGAACTACATACAAGAAATTTTATTACATACTAATGGACTTTTTTTTTTCCCTTTTCCAATTACACCACTAAATTTAACAGCAGTCCTCCCTTTTGGAGACATACCAAAAGGGGTAAAAATGCTGCCCGCCACTGAAGCAACTGCACTTATGACCAACAAATACTGCAGAGCGTTCAAAGTGCCTTCTGGCAAGCCTTCACTGTCAGCCTCAGGAACAGCCCGACAACACCCAGGCAAAGGTAAGCACATCAGCCTTGCATCGACCTTCCAGAAGCTGTCCCACTGCGAGTTTTAAAACTCCATTTTTTGACACTTCGGTAAAGATATGGACCGTCTTCTCCTCGACTGCTGCCACCCCAAGCTCACTTGTATGTACTCACAGGACATTACCTGCAACAATACACCTCCTGAACCTAAATCAGTGTTAATTCACCATTGACAAACACTATCAACTTGCGAGGAACTTCCCCCTCTCCCCCCAACAGGAAGTACATTTTGCTTACAGGAACCTCTGAAAAAGTCTTTTTAACACTGATTATGCAAACACTACTTATTAAAGTGAATTACAGATACAGTTTTTACAGAGGGTACAAGCTGTGTAGTATTGGTGCAGTCTGTTCTTTTCACCGCCCTGCAACTCCTACTGCCTTTCAGCTCTTCTTTAGGTTTGCAACTGTACTTCCAGAGTCCTCGCACATTTAAAGTCTCACACAAAAATCTTGCTTCATATACAGTATGTTCATCTTAGTTTTATATTACAGCAAGAAAAGGCAGCTGCTTTCATTATTTCTGCACATGTTGAGCATCAATTTTTAGTTTTTGTTTTGATTTTTAGTAAGAGCTTAATAACATAGCCACAATACAAATATAACTTAAGTGTGAAAATACTGAAAATCCATATGCAAAATGTTAAAATAGCTGTACCATTGCCAGTCTCCCAGAACAAGTTCCAATGCATTTTCAAGTCAGAACGTCTGACATTTCTGTAAATCGATGCAGTTTCTCACACAATAAGACAAGGCTAGAGAGGATGAACAGTTGGATACCTTATTGCTAATAGCAGAGTAAGAAATTACCTAATCAACCAGATGTCTCTTGTGAATTGACCTGCAATGATCACATACTAACAATAATACTAATAATAATTAAAAAAAAAAATCGAACTACCCCAAATATATCAAGCAAATTTTACTTTTTAAACAAAATAAACTTCATTAAAGAAAACAAAACACACGATATTTCATGTTAGCATTCCTGGAAGACTTAATACACTGCTCATGTTGCAAAATTTAGGCACTCTGCTCTATCCTAATCAGATCTGTAGCAAAGTGATAGAGTAACCAGTCACTGTGCTATTTTTGGATTATTTTGCGGGCTGCTTTGGGCAGTTAATAAGCATCTTACTTGGTAAGGCTCATTAAGAACACATGGATTCAAGACATTGTTCTAACTGCTAAAACAATTGCGACTAGGAATAATTCCCAATCAAAAACCAAAAAAGCTGCTGGCTGCATGGGACCTGAGGACGGGGCGCTGAACATCAGCGCACTCATCTACATCGGCGTGTTTCACGCTCACCCACAGGAATGAGGGACCTTTCCTGAAGTTCTGCCAAGGACTGCAGCAGCCCCACAGCTCTGCAGATCCAGTTACACCACTGGTTCCTCCCTCCATAGCAGCCACATTCACAGCTATTTGGACTCAACTGCATCAGTATTTATATGTTAATGCCATGATTGAGTTTACCTCAGGTCAGGGGTATGTAAAGGCAACTTTGCAAGCATTAATATCAGGACTAACACTAGCAATTCTTGCAAGATGGGCAATGACATACAGGGTTAGAAACACATTTCTAATAGTAAGTCTAAACTGATCTTTCCTACACTGCATTACTGCAAAAAAGTACTTTGCCCAGAATAGCCCGGACCTGCTCACAAATAGCCCATTACTGACACAGGCTACAGACGATGGAAAAGCCTCCTGTTGTAGCTGTACCAGCACCATTCTCTCCTCCTCCTACTGCAGACAAGGGCAGCAGCAGAGACGGCCCGTTCTACCTTCTCCTTCCATTTGTGCCAAACTAGCACCTCTGGGAAGACTATCTTTACAAAAAGTGTTGATAGGAAAGAGAAAGCTGCTATTAAATAATTTCCTTAAACTTGCATTTTCCATATACACCCCAAGCTGGGAACACTTTTCTGGGGTAACAACGCTCCTTCCTCTGTGTTTGTGGAGTGTCTACAAATAACGAGGACCCAAGCCCTCGACTGGAGCTCCTAAACTTTGATTTATCATGCAAATAAACGACTACCTGATTTTCTCTTTTGTGTTAGGTAACCCTTCCTAATTATTTCTATAACAATTCCATTTGGACTTATGTCTAAATACGTCTGAATATATGCACAGGGACCTTGGCTTCCTTAAGGCTAATATAGGCCTGTAGATCAGGCTGAAAGTTCATACCTATGAAGCTGAAATAGATCATCTACATTTAAACTATTTTCATTCCATAATTAACAAGATGTGCAACACTGTATTAGGATCACACTAGGAAGATGTTGTGGTTTTGTCTGAAAAACCCAGCCTCTGACAGTTTATGTTGTCATGTTCTTTATTACACTGCATGCCAACATCTGATTACTACTTGTAATCCTGCTCTAGAACTTTTGGGGAATACGGAGAGGACATCAGATACCATAACACTAAATGAAGACTGAAAATTAGTTTGTATTTCAAATTTGATATCAAACCCCTTTAAATTCCATAAAGGATGTCAGCTTCAAAACTATTAAAAATAATTATTCCAAGGATAAAGTGAAGGACTTCGTCACTGACATGGCACTCTTAGGAGCTTCCTGTGACAAGTGCACCACTACGCCCCGGGTGTAGACTTTTCACACCAGCAAAAGGCCTGCCTTTGGGTTACCTTAATATGTACTTTTCAACACTGTCCCCCCCTCCCCCAACCCAGCCGTGCCAGTCAAACATTTTTGCACCTACTTAAGGTATCCTCCTGGCATTACTGTTTCAGTTTCAAGAGATGGGGTAAAAGGAAGAGGGAAAACCACACACACAAATGCAGGTATTTTCACAAAACCTTTCAGTGGGACCTCAGTACACTGCCCTTTCTTGGCACTTCAAAGCTAGAGAAAGAAAAGAAACATTTCAGAGAAGTACTTCAGAGTCAGTACATAGGAACAACATATAATCAATGTAAATAATAATTCAGGCATAATTAATGACATAAGACTATACCCACTCTGTTCATCTTCAGAAATTACAGTTCAAACCTGTTTCTTCAATAAAAAAAAGGTTTCAGCCCAAGAAGGCAGAAGCCACTAAGATCTGTGAATCACCAAGAAATCATCTTCCAGTGCTGGCCCTACGGATCTTGCGATTACAAAGCATCCTAACAACCCGGGGGAGTTGCTTGGGGACATCGCCAGCCCAATAGAGAAAAACATAAAGTATCTGAAGCATCATTTCCAGTCACTGCTCATCTTGTGACAAGTCAGGCAGCTATCAGACACTTTCATGGGTTGATTTAACACATCAAAAAGGGAGAAAACTCGGGGAGGGGGGGAAGGGAGCAAATAATTTTCTACCACTTTACTGAATTTCATGGACTTACAGAGGGGTCTGCTAAGCTGGAACATCATTCTTCTGGGAATAGCAAGCCATTAGATCAGCTCAGCTCCCTGCGAGGCTACAAACCCACCTGCCCCCCACATTTAAGCAGAGCTGTTAGTACCTGCACGCCGCCTTAGCTTAGCAGTCTACAACAACAGTTTTGTAGGCAGTAAATTAGATCGGGAGGGTGGGGGAGAGGAGGGGTGCAAATCTATTTAGCTCCAATTACAATAGGAAGTTGACTAACTTGAGGCAGGATTATCTTAAAGGACCGTCTTTATTCCAATATATATTAAGCAATTATCACATAATGAAACAAGCAGCTACAGGATCCGGGCTGTAATAAGTTCATTTCAAAACACAGGTTCATTTTGCAAACGCTGCTATAGATACAATGTAAATAAAGATGGACACAACTTTATGCTTTGTCACCGGAGCCGAGGAAAGCGCCTCACACACAGCAGGGTCCAGAAGTCTGACATTCATGTACAAAACTGTGCTGTATGTTCTTGATGTGTTAGCACCCACTCAAACTGGTCTCAGCATTAATTTAAGCTGACTAAAACGATGGGTGAGACAACCAGCAATGACAGAGGCCTGACGTTTGTATGCCAGCTCCTCTCTGCCCAGGCCAGCCCCATCAAAGGATCTCAAGCCTGGCACCCGAAGACACTAGTCAATTCTCAAAATTACAGCTAGTATTTGAAACATGCAGATAAAACAATAAATGAGAATTAATGTTTTATGGGAGTACTCTTCCATGCCAGAGATTGTTGATCCCGGGTTTTCCATTTTCTTGCACTAATACTAAATGCATAAGCAGGCATTCGTGAGCAAGGGTCTGTCAAATGGTTCACGTAAATTTAACCACTTACCTAATTTCTCTCTTAAGTAATCAACTGACACTAGATATCCTTATGCCAACTTAAGTAGTTTTGAATACTACAAACTACACCTTATCACATGCCTCTGGACAGAGCTGTCTGATTTATGGTTCTTACACAAACAAGAAATCTCCATTTTTATTAAAACACTGTTCCACAACAATAAGCCCAAGACATAACTGCACCCCCAGTTAACCCTCAAAAAAACTAAGCCACAGAACACATAGGTTGAGTCCTCTTGG